TTTCATGGTAATAAAAATGATATCTCCATATAGACAAACGGGTCGCAAAATTTCAAGAGTTAATAATAAATAACGTGTACACTAATAACTCAATTTAAATGGAAAAAGATGACATCATTTGTATATTCAAAGTCAACATAGATTTTTTTGAGTGAAGTTTCCATATTTAAATATCTTAGACAGCTGTATAGTCTAGTGAGTTTGGACCCGTTCATTTTAAAGACGTTCAAAGGACGGCCTCTTTTTATATTTATTTATATGATAGAAGCCAATGAGAAAAAACATTTTAACAGCAAACTAATCACAGAGCGACATGGCCAAGGCTGACATTTGTTTAAAATGGTTCAAACTGAGAGTGGGAGTGTGTTTACCCTTTGAAATTATGCATAATCTGATTCAAACTTTGCACTACAATAATGACTAAAAAACAAATCGTTGTCAAGATGGCTTTTTTCTTTTTCTTTTTTTTTTGTGCACAAAGCTTTCACTCGCTTTGCCTATTCTGCTTTTGAGCTGATTCTTGCGTTGGTTCAGCTTTAATTAATATACAAATTGATAACAAAGAAAAAGATCACTATGACTCACGAACATCACATCAATATAGTCAAAAGGTTTTAATTTAAAGTTTGATCAAATATTTGAATACCAATGTCAAAAACTTTCTATAGAAACCTATGCTTTATTCAGTACGCTTCAGTTAGAATATTTTTTGCCGAAGAGCCCTTTTTGCTTTTGTTCAGTCATTTCAAAATCTCTGTATCAATGCGCTCAAAAAATCTGTGAAATTGAGGAGAAGAAGAAGAAAACTGGTTGAGAATGAAGCCCACACAGAAGTGAAATGTCTGCGTCTGTGGGTTGGGGTCAGGAGCACAGATGGGGGCAGTAGAAGTCATTTAAAGTGACATGTCTGACACAAGAGGCACCTGTAAAGAATATGACAACTCCCACATGGACGAAGAGAACAGACCTGAATAGTAATGAACAAGTTAAACGTATTAGACAATTACAGCAAAGACCTGAGCTGAATGTGGGGCCATAAAGCTTTCAAATATGAGAACATTATGCAGGATAATTCAATCAAAATAGAGTAGACTTGTTTCAGTAACTTGTCCGGTGTAACAAATCTTTATTATTTAGTAGTAATCCTGAAAAAAAAACTGTAAAAATTGAAATTAGATGGTTCCTATAATGTTGTAATGTTGTTGTGTTTTGTTTCATTCACACGTGTTTAAGTAATCCTTTATTATTATTAGAAATCTGTCTACATCTCCAAAGCTCAAAATGCTATGTTCCACCTTGTGATGTCATGAAGTGGTAGTTTTCAAGTTAACAGCTATTTTACCTTTTATTCAGAAGAGATTGGCAACTCCACGGCTAAAATTATCCACATGTTTCTAGTGAAGGTGTATGGAGTTTAAATCGCAGTGGAGTACTTCCTGTACCACTTCCTGTACCACTTCCCTTACCGCATGACATCACAAAGTGTAACAGAGTATTACAGTTTGAGAGAACAGCTTGAATATGCAGAGTTTGTGTGTTAATGAATGTGTGTGACTGAAACAAAACACAACTCCAGATATGCTTTTAATTAGGAAACGACATTATAACGTAGTTCAGAGAATATCGTAATATTGGTCCTTTAAGTTTTAAAGGGACAGTCCAGAATTTTGGATATAGGTGAGCCAGACTGTTGGAGACATGTGGAGACACTTTTTAAAATATTCCATCCAGTCCTTGTATTTGCAGAGGTCGCTGGTGAAGTCAATGGCCATATTTACCCACTCCACAAAACACCTTAAGCAAATCTATATCTATATATAACTATGAGTGTGACGATATCCAAGTCTCACGATACGATATTGTCATGGTGTGAACCTCACGATATGATATTTATTGCGATATCATGGGAAAGCTCACAATATGGTGCGGAGGCTCACAATTATGGATGTAACAATATCCAAATAAGTACGGTATTTTCACGATGTACTTCTCACAGTATGATATTTATTGTGATATTTTGTGGAGTCTAACAAAATTGTGAAAATTCTACTTTTTCCTCCTAAAATGCCTTGACAAGACTTAATCCAAAGAACTAAGACTTACAAGTGCTTAGAACTGTTATCCCTTCATGTAGTAAGGATCATGGTCTACGTAGTTCCCTCTGTCTTTTTTTAGCTATTACTGCACCATAACTCTTAATTTAAGCAAAGAGACTTGTAATTCGATATATTGTGATGGTCCAAGATATTATCGTAAGAACTTTGACGATACAATATCATGATATTTCGGTTATTGTTACAGACCTAATTATAACACCAAACTGTCGATGTGAATGTCTGTGTTGATAGAATAATTTTAAAAGTCAAACCAACCTTGCATTTGAAGGATTTATGTCTGAGCAGCAGCAGCGAGTTGTGCTTCTTGATAGAAAGCTTGGCAGCGGCGGACTGATATTGCCTAGCACCTACCTTACCGGCAAAGTAAAATTCTGCTGCTGCTAAGAAAATTGTCCTTCAACATGCATTCAAACATTATTCTATCAACACAGACATTTACATGGACAGTCTGGTGTAATAATAGATTTGCTTCGGGTGTTTTGTGGAGTGGGTAAAACTGTTTTTAGTAGCAGGCTAAGTATGGCCATTGACATGCTTTAGCCTAGCACCAGCGACCTCTGCAAATACAAGGACTGGATGGAATATTTAAAAAAATGAGGTCCTATGTCCGAAATTCAAGACTGTCCCTTTAAAATAACATTACATCGACAGTGCACATTTTAAACAAGTCCAGACGCCAGACAAAGACAGAAGTATGAACTGCTAAACTAGTACAAAAATCCTATGCGTTTCAGAAAGTGTTTGTAGAGATCTAAACTACAGGGTTAGCAGGTTTCACATATTTGTTACAGAAATTCCAATTCTGTGCTGTATCAGGGACACTCGCTGCTCTCTCAATCCCTGTTATCTTGGCCTGCGTCATCAGAGGTATAATACTCCTTACAACAGAAGTATATGCAGACTGGACTGCTCTAGACTAGAATGGAATGAGTTCTGTACTGATGGTGAAATAAAGTTCTCTAGCCTCTAGCCTCATGCTTCTTCCTGTCATCTCTCGGGCTACAATTTATTCTACAACTGTATTTAATGAGATATACTGTAGAGAATAATTCCTATGTTGACAACTATTTAAATGACAATTCTGATTCTATTGCATTTAATCCAATATTTGTATTAGTCTTAAGCCTCATAATTTACTTCGTTATACAATGACTGAATATTGAAATACAGCTTTTTAAACAGGCCCTAACCAGACCGGTCCATTTGTCCTTTTGGTGCCTTATAATGTTTTCTATGTAAAATCTATTGTGGTGCTGCTGTTATCCTTTTAGTAATTCTGCCTATAATACCTTTTATTTTTGTCTAAAAGCAACTGGAAATGTGATTTTTTTTTTTTTTTTTTTAAGAAACGTGGGTTTTCTGTGTTATTAGGTATCTTTTCAGACCAAGAGTTTGTTTTCATACCTGACAGTTTCGACTGCTCATTAGCGCTCTTCCTCACAGTGGTCACTTGATGTTTCTGTGACGTGTCCGGTCAGCTGATTTAAACAGGTTTTGGCGCTGTCTTCCTACCAGTGGAGGCAGGACGACAGCGCCATCTGCATTCCGACTTCCTCAGGGCAGTATCCCAGGCGTGTGAGAGTAAAAAAGCCTCCTCGTCCCGGTTTATAATCCCCTGGGCACGTTTCCGTATTTCGATTGCCTCTTTAATCCAACAGCGATGCGACGTCCAGTGGTCAGAAATGGCCCATTTGAGTGTGTTTTCTGTGTCTTTTTTTTTTTTTTTTTGCTTTGAAGTGACTAAATTACTGTGTTTGAGATTGCAGATTACAATTTTTATTCTGTTGCAATTAATAAGAGCCCTATTATTCAGCTTTAAGACTCATAATTTACTGTATTACATAATGACTGAATATTGATGCACAGCTTTTTAACCAGTCCTTTGTTCATTTCCTTGTTTTGTTCATTATAATCTTCTTCCATGTGTTTTCCTAATAGAACTTTTTCACAACGGCCGGAAGTGCCACTCTGTAGGGTAAACGTAACTCCCTATAAATGCTTTTCCATTGCAAAATATCTGTAAATGTCTCGTGTATTTTCCACTAGTTTCATAAATCACCATCAAATCTTCATCCAACAAGGTCCACAAAGGAAATATTCTGTCCGTGAAGAATTTATCCACAACTATCAAGGTAAGAAAGACGAAAAGGCTAATGTAACAGCGCTAACAACAACTAGCATTAGTGAACTATACCTGAGCAAAACATTATAAACATTACAAAACATTATGGTCATGAATAAAACATTAAATATAAAACAAGTAATGAATAATTTGTGAATAAGTAAGTTGTTAACACAAATTAAAAACTGATTTCATAGACTGAGAGATTTGTGCAGTTCTAATGCTACAGATGTTGACAGTTTACATGTCTAGCATCTAAACTGCACAAATCTCTGTCTATGCGAATATCTACATCATGAAATCAGTTTTTAATTTTAATACTAGAATCAGTCTGAGTTAACAAGTTACTTCTGTTTTATTCATGACCATAACATTAGTTTTGCTCAGGAGTAGTTCACTAATGCTAGTCATTGTTAGCCTTCATGTTTTCATTTTTTTAACCTTGATAGTTGTGGATAAATTCTTCATGGACAGAATATTTCCTCTGTTGACCTTGTTGGATGAAGATTTGGTGATGGGGCAGATTTATGAAGCTGGTGGAGAATACACGAAACATTTCTGCAGATATTTTGCCGTAGAAAAGCATTAACCGGGAGTTACGTTTACCCTACATCGCGACATTACAGGACGTAGTGATTAAGGTCTATTATATTGTGGTGCTGATGATACAATTGCAATGGCAGCCTTTTAATAACTGTACAGACACTGATATTTCTTTATTTTAGCCCAAGCTGACTGACTTGTCCTCTTTTGTCCATTAGTCCGGCGCGTTCAAGCGAAACTTCAGCTCTCCCATGATCATCAACGACCAACTGGCTGTGGTCAAAGAGGTGCAGCCCAGCCAAGGTAAGTGTCCACAGAGCAGACGGAGTAAGAAATGTTTTTATACTTTTACTTCACTATTTTTCTGCTCGTGTTTTGTCCCTGTGAATCTAGAAATGTCTTCATTGCGTCTGAACACCGCGAAGCATGAAGTGGAAAAAGAGAAAGAGGAGGAGCAGCCAGAAACACAGCCGCTCCCTCAAAGTATGTGGTCTTAAAATGCACAGACACACTGACACTTTTTAAAGCTAAATGATAGATGTATATATAAATGGACACAGCTAATCCGCTATCTGAAAAATGAAGATAAGCCTAATTTTGAATCACTAAAGATCCTTGGATATATCATTATGTACCTTCTGCTCAGGTTAAATGTTACAAAAATAAGAAACAGTACCCCATTGCACATAAAACACACACAGAGAGACGACGGACAATGAGAACATATTGTCCTTATTTATTGAAGTTGAAATAGTAATTACCATGTATAAAACTGATATTAAAAACATAATTTGCAGTTCTATCATGTTTAGCGCTTCGATAACTGCCCATTAGCTTCCATCATCACCTCCAGCTCACTGCTCCACTGTCACATTTGGGCCAGAGCCAGGCACAGCTCAGCCCTGCCAAAAATCACCCACTTTAACTGACCTCATATAACTAAAGGCCTGGTTGAATTTGCAAATATTTATTCTTTAGTGTAATATTTTTAGACCGATCGGACACTTAGCCTGTAATCTTCGATAAGAGCCTTCTTTGTCCGAGCAGATGATTCTCTGTTTAATGAGGTGGTGTTTATTTGAGGGTAACGGCTGCTTTAATCTGCGATTTCTGAAGCTCATTTTAACAAAGTCCCACTGAAAACATTGCAATTGGGTTACAGAGACGTGGTTAATAAAACATATTATTTCTAATACTAGTTGGCTTTGATCAGTGGTTTGGCAAAGTTTTATGTAGTGTTTGCTATAGTGTTGCAACACCGAATGCCTTGTAAATTTTAAAAAGTACAAATGATGTGAGATATTGTGTTGCAGATTAAAATACACATTGTTATTAAGATAAACCTGCTGTGCGTGTTCTTCCATTTCAACATTGTAGTTAGTAAAGTTATTGATTGACTGTTTTGTTTATTTTGGGAGAGTCAAAGCCGCATTTTTTGCAGTGCTCCTGAAGCCCAATATTAAGGGCAAAGTATAGTTCTGCGTCGACTCAACACACACTGCCACTGTCGCCTTGTCTCACCATCATCAGCACATCCTCTGTCACAAAGAGAACACACATTCCACTGAGTCGTGTCCTTCAGTCCGACAGATGCTGAACCGCATGAGCAGCATATGGAGCAAGCTGTTTTTTTCAGCGCTTATAGTTCATGCAATTTAGTCATATGGTTTTAAGTTTTGTTTCTGTAAAACGTAAACAAAATGTGCGCAAACTGTCCAGTGTCAAATTGTTGTGCTGGACTCTGGTATGGTGTAAGTTTTTGCGATGTTTGCAAATGTTCATGTGAACTATTGATTGGAAAAAAATCGTGGATGAAATCGAAATCTGTCTGAATAATCGCAATTCATTTTTTTTCTTAAAACCAATCAGCCTTAATAAAGAAATGTAGACTATATCCACACATTGTAATCGAGTAAAATCTGTAACTAAACATGGATTAAAACAGGACTCAAGCAGCAGCAGTAGTAGTAATCGTAGCAGTAACAGTATTATGGTCACGTTTTTATATAGCACTTTTCCACCTTCAAGGCACCTTCGAGAAGCTTCAAGCGCTTTACAACAAAGAACCACTCACCTGTTCACACACACATTCAGACACCAGTGTACGCAGACACAGGGCAAGAGGGGTTAAGTGTCTTGCCCAAGGACACAACGATAACATTCATCTGTGGGAGGTGGAACCTTTAGATCAGTGGAAAAACGCTCTACCAACTGAGCTACTGATGACAACAACAATAGCTGCAGCAGCAGCACTAGTAGTAGTAGTAGTATTAGAAGTAGAAGTAGTAGTAGTAGCAGTAGCAGTAGTAGTAGTTCTCATTTGATACTCAATATTATGTTTCAATGCACTTTAACTCCTCTCTTTCAAGAAATGTCTTAATCCTGTCTCTCACTATCTCTCTCCTCCACACTTTTGACCCTCAAGACCCATCTTTTTGACTCTTTTCATTTCGGAAGAGACTCTTTCCCAATGCTTTAAAATCCTGTGATAACTTCAAACGCCGCGATCTCCTACATAAAACTCTGCCCCTGAACGCACCACTGAGATTTCCATATTTTAAGCTTCATTTCTCATTCCCTTTTTTCTCCAGCACAACTAGGCTGTCACGCTCCACTCATAAGTCCTGCCAGTGTGTAGTAAAATATAAATAAATCAAAGCGTACTGAATTATTGCTATGTCTTCATGTCTTCTTAGCGATTTTGGCTGTGGTCCTCTCCTCTCCGGATCTTAAGTGGGTCGCGTTGGTCCAAGACTGATTGTGTTACAGTTATATTTAGACTCCTGTTAGTTCAGATTGGCACAAGTCCAGGAGTTTTGATACACACTTCACTCCCAATGTGTCACCAGTATAATAGTAATGTGGCTGAATGTTCATGTGTGTAGTAGAGATGGAGAAAAAGTACTAAGAAAGGACTAAGGAGTGATAGTCCATGAAGGGGGCTGCTTGTGTCAAAGTATAAAAAGGAAGAATTACACTGAGAAACCGCACTTCCACAGAATCAATGGGCAAAGCATTTAACACACTAATCTGATTTGTTAAATTTAGATCATATTATGAGTTATATTTTGTTATGGTGTATGGATTTTCAAGAGGAAATGTCTTCCGCATTTCCTTCCACATCTGTTATATTCTTGATTGAGGGTTGACTTGGATGGAGCCATGGGACATAAATCTATATTGCGTTGTCCCTAATGGTAATTGTAAAATTAATTTATTCATTCATTAATAACTGGATTTACATAGCGCCTTTCAAAACACCCACAAATCGTGCATTATTTATTTACTCCATTCTCTGACTGAAGCGAGACCGCCAAACTGCCCCATCAGCCCCTCCAACCACCACCACAACACTCACACAACACTTTCATGCAAGGCAATGTGTGTGAAGTGTCTTGCCTAAGGATACAACAATGTTTTTTGCCCCACTGTGACACCTGATTTTCCCAGTGGTCTTCCATCCAAGTGTTACCCAGGCCCGACCTTGCATATCTTCAACGATCTGACAAGATCAGGCTTTGACAAACCGGTATGGCATTGTATTACTGTGCAAGGAATATGGTAGTGCAACATAAAAGTCAGCTGAGTCTGTTCTATAAAATATATTAACTGAATGTTTTGTTTCAGAAAGCCATCGGTCCCGTGTGGATCCCATCTACGCCGCTCTGCGCTATGGCACGTCTCTGGCCCAGATGAGTCGCTCCAGTTTTGGAAGTTTGTCTGAGTCTCCCACACGCAGCCTGGTAAGAAGTCCTCTCCTGCTGCAGGGATACTGTGTCATTTCAAACTGCATATTATACATTAGACTATTCATTTTACTAAAACAGCATTATAGCTTGCCTAATAGTTAAGCTCATAATTTGACTTTGTGGTTATTCAAGGTAAATCCATAATTGTTACCTAGCAACCATAATGTAAACAAAGCCCATTATTTACCACAGATACTATAACACCAAACCAAGTGATAATTAGAGAAACATGAAAAACTGTCGTATGCATTTTAAAGGCCTGTATTACACAAAATTGACTCTTATGACCTTTAAGTCATGGTATAATGTTGTTCCCTTCTCAGAAACATACCTGGAGTTTTTTTTTTTTTTTTTTTGTTTCATGCTTGAGTAAGCCTATTCTCTTTATATCTCCAAAGCTCAAATTGTTCTGTTTTACATTGTGATGTCATGTAGTGGCAAGTTTCAAGTGAACAGCTGCATTTTACCATTAGTTCAGTAGAGATTGGCAATTCCAGATCTGAAATTATCCAAATGATTCTAGTGATGGTGTGGAGCATTTCCTGTATTACCAAATGGCATCACAAGGTTGAACAGAGTGTTTTCTCTTTGAGAGAAGAACTCTGTATTTGATGAGGAAACAACATTATTACATAAATCAAAAAATAATGTAATATGGGCCCTTTAACTTTCATTTCACCCCATAAATACCAATAATTCTGCATGTTGGGTCACGTCAGAGCAGACTAATAAAGGAGAGTGGTTTTAGCACCTCAGATTAGCCTCTCGCGTGTCGTTTTAGCAATTTATGTCATCATTAAGTCAACAGTTAGCGTTATGGTCACTAAGGCGCTATTTGAAAGCCCCATTATTTCACAGTAAGGGTTTTGGGTTGAGAGATACTTACAGTAACCTACATTGACCATGAAATTACATTAACATCAATGTTACATTACATTAATGTTCCATAAATACTCAGACTGTAGCTGTCAGAGAGAATGGAGCATTGAGTTTGAAGTCACTTTGACAGACATGTACAGACATAAGACTTGAGTGACACTAACAAGTACTTTCAGTAATAGGTCATAATAGATAATAGGTTATATACAGTAAGTTGCTGTCTCCTTAGTCAAAAGTGAAATTATATACAAAAACATTATACATTATGTAGTTGTATTTATTTATGTGCTTTTTTTACTGACTTGGGTTTCAGCTTCATATTGTTTTCAGAATTATAATAAATTAGGACTGTTGCCATAGTGATTAACTGGCAATTAATCGTAAAGAATGGACCTGTAAATTTGGACCTTTACATTTTGAAGCTATTATACAAAAATATGATGGATTAAATGCTTTATTTTATTTATTTATTTACTTAGACTTGGGTTTCATGTTGGCAGCTTCATATTGGTTTCGGAATGATGAAAAATTAGGAATGTTGCCATAGCAATTAACAATTAATCAACAACCTATAGACACCAATTTGTGCACCTGTTTCACCTTTCAAAATATATAATTTTATGTCTTGCATTGGTAACTCTGGTAGTTTTGCATCACTCTGACACAGAATATATATAAATCCTCAACTCACCCATCCAACAACAGAATAAACTTTACACGTTTACAAACTATCAGCTATTAACTACAGCTTTCAGAATGATGCCAAATTTGCACTGTTGCCGTAGCGATTAACCATTCAAAACAAATATAGCCGTCATTTTGTGTACTTTTTACCATTCAAAAGATAGGATATTGTGTATTGATTGCATTGTTAAAAGTCATGGCAACACACATTTTTTTTATCACCCTGAAACTCATGGATATGCTTTTAGAACTATGGTCCATAACATTGTAATGTAAAATCAGCTCACCCAACAACAGAATGGACCTTTAAATTCAGACATTTACAATCTGGAGCTATAATAACAAATAAAAGTAAGATAAGATACCAGCCATATTGAATTTTAGATGTAATTTCATAAATAACAGTGAATTTGGGAGAGAAAACCGCTATCACATGTCTTCTTCCAGTGTGTTTTTATTAAAAGATAGAAGATTGATGTGAATTGTAAATTGCTATGGCAACAGTACCAATTTTTCACTCTGCAACCCACGGCGTGTATGGTGTATTCTGTAGAAGATTTTACAATGATATCCAAAACCCCAGCATGACTCTAATATTATATTATTTTTGTATTTTAGTATTTTTGTGATTGTTTTGATGCAGGGAGAGGGAGGAGAGGAGACGCAGAGACAGTACAGCATGGAAGAGGATATGCCCACAGAAGCAGCAGGTATGTGTCAACACTGATTTGCTCTTCCTGCTATCTGAAATTGCTTTTTGCATGACATGATTGGTTACAGGGAGCAGTCAAGGCACATGTTAAGAGAATCTCTCTCCTTTTTTATAGAAATTCCAGTGCCTGACGTGGAGATAGAGAAGGAGGAAGAGTCCAGTGATGTGCAGAACCAGACCCCAGCGGAGGAGAGCGGTGTAAAGGTACAGTTTTGTTTTATATGCAGATGATCCTTACACTGTCAATGTCAATTATACAAGAGCTAAAAAGTTTAAAAAATAAAAGTTAAATATTGATATCGCCAACATTCTCTGGGGTTGTGGTGCTCTGTTACTCAAGTTAGACTTTAATCTGAGCTTTGTTTTAACACAATCTGACCAGAAATAGTGATATTGATTGGAATTACAACAGGTGAACGGACTTGTGCACTTAAACGAGTCTTTAACACATCAAATTACTGTCACAAGCCAGCGAGTTTTAGTCAACAGTTTTTCAGTTTGTGGCTCTCACCTGTTTTTGTTCAAAAACCAAACACCTAAGAAGGACCATGAACTTTTTGAAGGTTTTTGAAATCAAAGTTGAGATGCATTTTGTGTCTTGGCAATAAGAATGATGAAGGGACATGGCTTGAGTGTGTAGATTAGTGAAACAAGTCAGACTAAAACAATACACGATTTCAATGTCTAAGATGACAAAGCAAAATAAACTGTCAAACTTTCTCACACTCCCAATCTCCCAGACCATCTAATTGTATTTGACCTGCAGCATTACATTTTCCATTTGTTTGAAGCAGAGACTGTGTAATAGAAGTGGACTGAGGGCGTGTGACGTCATTCATAGTGTTCAGCTCTAAAGCCAAATGAAGCCAGTCGAGGTTAGCAGATATAGTGGATTTGGAGCCAAGAGCCATATTTGGAAATCCAAGCATGTGTAGCACAGCAACCAAAGAGCCAATCAGGAGCGAGGCTGTTGAAAGTAATACCCCGCTGGTTTGGCAGGGGCGGGCACTTAGCAATGCTGTCAATCAAACCTGTTGCTAACACTAACAGGTGCAACCTTGTGGGAAGAAGGCACCTCATTGGTCTGTTCAGAGCTTGATTTTTGGACAAAATAGTGAAATCAAAACACCAGGATCATACAGAGCAGGTTAATACAAACATATTAAGTACAAAATGAGGAGTCTGACAGCAGCAGTTACAGAGAGCAGGGTGACAACTTTTCAATAGAAAGTGAAGTAGAGCCAGAGATGATGGAACCAAATCATGACCAGTATATACAGTTTATAGTTTGAGTAAATAATGCTGACTGTAAATGTGGACGTGCTGGTATTAGATGACTGAACAAAATATAAACTTGACAAAGTTAAAATTCAAAATGATTACAAACCATCTATACAGAACAGCACAGAGTATTCTTAAATGTCCCCCTCTCTATTGCTCCTTGATTCTGTTCATCCACTGAAACACGTGTCATCCACAGACATAGACTCACATGTGCCTGAGTGTGTCACAGTGGGAGGCCTCTCTATGGGTGCGTTCAGACTGCAGGGCTTAATGCTTAATTCAGATTTTATGTGAGGTCGTTCACATTTCCAATTAAATGCGACCTATATGTGATCCCGAGTGTGAACTTTAAACGCCTCAAAAGTGTCTCGCATGCGCAATGGAGGACAGGACAACTTCATACGCAGCGAGCGTGCTCGATGTTTAAGGAAGTAGTCTAAACACTGGGCTTGTCTCCCAGGTTACACGTCCACTACTGCATCATTTGTTTGAATCTCTAGCCTCCTTTTATTTGGCTTGCAGGCTTTTTTTTTCTTTGTTGAGATTGAAGGCAGGACCACCTGTAGTCACGCTCTGCCATTTCTTTGGCAATAATTTCAAAAACTGCCCGGTTCCAATAACACCTCTCCAATTCATGCTGAATACAGCTATCCCCCAAATATTAATTATTTATTTCCCTCCATTGACTAGACTCCAAGCCTGACATGTAGATGGGATGAATGTGACCTAGCCATTCAGACTGAAATCACATGTCAAAAGATTGGATATGTACTGGTTTCAGGAGCACATATCCAAGTGGCTTGGGTCACATTTGAAAAAAATTGGATCTGTGTCATTCAGACTGTCAAAAGATCAGATACAGGTCGCATAGGGGCGAAAAAATCGTATTTGGGTCACTTCAGGCTGCAGTCTGAACGTGGCCATAGACTCACATGTGCCGGAGTGTGTCACAGTGGGAGACCTCTCTATGTCTTGTACAATGTAACTATAAAACACCAAAGCCTGCTGTGGGCTGGAAGTGGCAGACCTTTAAAATGAACCTCTGTCCGTTTATTATATGACCACATACAGAGCTCTTATAAGATCATTGTTTTTAATAGTTTTCAACAGAAGGTGATCTTCTCAGTCTGATGTCCTACAGATTATTACATTATTTTCTGATCTATGGTATAATGTTATCATCAAGAAATATACCTGGAGTTGTATTTTATTTCATTCAAGACATGTTTAACACACAAATCCTGCACATTTAGTTTTTCTCTCAAACAAAAAACTCTCTGTTCCATGTTGTGATGTCATGTGGTAATATAGAAAATGCTCCACTGTATTTTTAAACTCTGTGCACCTTCACTAGAGTCATTTGGTTCATTTCAGACCTGAAATTGCCCATCTCTAGTGAACTAAAGGTAAAAGGTATCTGTTAACTTGAAAACTGCTACTTCCTGACATCACAAGTTGGAACGGAGACTGATACTAAAGGATTACTCAAACATCTGTAAAGGAAACTAAACACAACTCCAGGTATGTGTTTGAGGAAGTAACGACATTCTCCAATTCACAAGAGCCAATTTTGTGTTTTATTGGACCTTTAATTAATATGGAAATTAAAGTTGTGGAAATGCCAGACCAGAAAAGCCACAAGCAAATAAGTCTTTTTTTTATGCAATAGGTATGCAGTCCTAGCTCTCTCTGCTGTCATTCTGAATAAACAAATTCTGTGCCAAATAAAGTGATGAGATGTTCCAAGACAAATACATAAATGCAAGTTATACCAAGGTTAAGATGTCCAAAAGCTTAAAACGGCTTAAAGGTTATTACTGTCTTTAAAAAAATGAAAAATTAAATGAATTAATTAAATTTAAGCAGCAGTGGTCCAAAGTTATTCCTCACTTACCTTATGCATTCAGAGCATCTTAGATATTCACCGTAATAAGTTTATAAGTGCTTTTAAATTTTTAGAATTTTAGAGTTGCAATTGGAGTGCCATCATGATAAAACTAATGATAACTAGCATGCTAACTGGGCACCGCCTGATTATCTGACAAAAAAAAAGCTTTATAATGAGCTGCAGACAGTACACAGCAGCCTTTTTTGACCTCAAGAGCTGCTTACACAGTATATCTCTACTGGGGTAAGAAAAGTTTGCTCAAATCCATGGGAATAAATTGGTTACAGGGCCTTTAAAAACACATGATGTATGACCTTCATTATGGTCATGAACCACCTGAAGGAGCGCATGCACCTCCAGCAGTTCATGTACTCAGGGTTCCCACTCTTTTTTCACTGACAAAATTTCAAAACTTTTCCATGACTATTTCATAACCTAAAGTAAATTTTCCATGACTTTATGGCACCTACATTTGTAGAATTGATCAGACTTTTAGGGCTAAATATGAAATGTTAACCCTTTTCACTCACCTTATGGTTTGGTATTATAGTTTTTTAACATTTAATGTACTGTCAGGGCATTTTTTGTCATCTCTTTTAAACAAAAGGCACAGACATTTGGAAATAATTATAATAGCCTGATGTGTGAAAGAGATACAAAAATTCCATGACTTTTCCAAAACTTTCATTGAATTTACAAAATTCCATGACTTTTCCAGGCCTGGAAAATGACATTTTCAATTTCCATGAAATTTTCGAGATTTCCGTGACCGGAGGAACCCTGTGTTCTACAGTTTAAGAACCTCTAGAGTAACCTGAAATGTTATTAACTTGTCAGTCACCTCTGCTGTTTTTAAAGGGCCCATATCACACTGTTTTCTGATCTGTTATGTTTCTTCATTTAAAAAACAAAACAAAAAACATACACCTTGTGATGTCATATGGTAATACAGAAGTGCTCCACTGTTTTTAAACTCCTTACAACTTCACAAGAGTCATTTTGATCATTTTCCAATCTCTACTGAACTAAAAGTAAAAGGTAGCTGTTCACTTGAAAACTACTACTACGTGACATTACAAAGCAGAACAGGGCATTATGAGCTTTGGAGAGCAAGTGTGAATGAAACTAAACACAACCCCAGGTGTTTTTGATGAGGTAACAACACTATAAAATTAGTTAAAGCTCACAAGAGTCAAAGTTGTGTAATAAAGGACCGTTAATATGTTTTTCATCTTCTCCTTTCTGTCCCTTTTAACAGGTTCCCAAGCGCATTGATGTTCAGTCCATCCACACTTACGTCGCTCTGTACAAGTTTCTGCCTCAGGAGCAAAATGACCTGGAACTACAGTGAGTGCAAAGTAACATTAAGAATGTGCACATCGCAGCCTAGTTACTCTTCTAACACACACAGACACACACATATATACACATGTACATATACACAGGTGCTTCTGTGATACTGGCCATTTGAAATACAGCTACGTGACAGAGAGTATTTGGGCTATGGAGACGCCGTGTGCAGAGGACAATCTTTAAGGACGACTAATTATACTCTGCAATGTCCCATGAACAGAGCAGCAGGGGAGAGGGAAGACACATGAAAGAGGAAGTCTGCAAAAAGAGAAAAATAACACATAGAGTCACGAAATGCTCAGGGGCAGGAATAAAAAATATTTTAAAATGTTATAAAAAGTGTAGTTTAATATTTATCTCGAATGAAGGTGAAGTATTTTAGCTGTAGAGAAGGGCAAGTCAGTCTACTCTTTGTGCCAGTCCTAAGCATGGAGGAATAAAGATGGTTCATTGAGAAAGGGCATCTGGCTTAAAAAAATAAAAAAATAAAAAATCAATGCAATATTATATTATATTATTGAGTAATCTAAAGTATACAAAGCATGAACAAAGACTTAATTAACAATAAACAAATACTTAATTAAGAGACATTCAGACTTAATAACTACTTAATTAGCACTTAACATGCATTTAATTAGCCTGTGCTGTAAATAGTTACTCATAATTATTTCATACTTAGTTACTTATGAACTAACCATTTGTGTGTATATTTGTAAATGCATATTTAAGTACAAATTTGAACATTTATTAATGGTTATCAAGCCATGAGCAAATGATTTACTAATGCTGCAATGCAATTCAGGCAGCTATTACAAATGGTGATGATGCGCGCCTGTGGTGGCTCCACTGGCAGCTCCAGCAGGACGTGTATGTGTGACACTGGCTCTGTGTTTCTCAATGGGAAAGTCGATCAAACTTGACTGGGAGCGTTTAGCCTCTTGTATCAGGTCTACAGTGAAAATAACCAGCTGAATAAGCTTGTATTTCCACCTGAAACTGGGCTCTTTCACACGATACATACCTGCCCCAGGAGCACATTGTACTGATGGTCAATGCACAACCTATTTTCTGAAATCTACGTACTCCATACGCATGCCTAGCTCGTGCAGTGGAGCCAATCTCATTCACTTTTAATGCATTCTAAAAATTACGTGTCCAAAAATTTTTATGCTTGCTTAGGGCGAGGGCGTGGAGCCATAGCTAACCACATCTAAATGGGTAAAACTAGGTACTGCTATGTTCAAGTATTTTATTGTACTGTTAAATCTGATACCTTTTATACAGATATAGATATTCTTTGTGTAGTCTAAAATAATTACTATATAATACTGAGTAAAATAACCAGTATAAAATAAATGAAAAATTTCTAAATTATTTAAATTTGACAGTGTTCCAGGTGTTTTTGCTGTATTAGACTTGCATGAGAAGAAGGACGGCAGTCAGAACTCAAAAACCAGGCCATGACGTCAAAGGAGACTCCCCGGTCACAATGTTTTTGTTTTAGATTTAGAAAGGATGTCATTAAAAACAACACGTGGACCTGGCAACACGTGCAACTGCCCCCTCTATTCTTGTAAACAATAAGAAGCTGCAGCTAACTGAATATTGTGGATGCATAATGGGCACACAGTTCATTTAATTTTGAATCATTGGGTTCATTTTGATTTTTCTGGAGCAAGTGCAAAGTCACAGTGCTACAGTTTGTCTTAATAAATTATGATTTGTCTATTCCTGGGCATGTGATACACCTCTATTCACTCATGATGTGAAACTATAAATGTTGTATTATTTTCCTTGTTCACTCTTAAAATGACAATGACATATTCAGTTTCAGCATTTACATAATTCAAACAGCCCGACATTCTTTCAAAACAAGAGCATTAAATAAATTGTTAAATGTCCTATACGCAAAAGTGACTCCCCATGTATCCATTCACACTGCAGTACCCACTTTTAAAATACTGTGTACTAGACATACAAGATGAATTCACCATATCCTTCCAATATGGGAGTAACATTTGCAGATATCTCAAGCTGCAGAGACCTTATGCATTACAAATTTTGCTGCTGTAGGCAAAGTCCAGCTCAGGAAAAGCTTAGGAGGAAGACCCTGACTGTAAGAAACCACCATAAATACCTGGATTGCATATAAAGAGTGTACACCGGTGAATGGCCAGCTAGAATCCAGAAAGAAACATATGCAGCTTTATTTATAACCTGCAAATGAATATAGCAGTACTTACTTATAGAGTCACTGGTGCTAGGCTAGTGCATGTCAATGGCCATAGTTAGCCTGCCACTAAAACCAGTCTTACCCACTCCACAAAGCACCGGAAGCAAATCTATTATTACACCAGACTGTTAATGTAAATGTCTGTGTTGATAGAATAAGGTTTGAAATAAAACTAACCTTGTATCACACGCATCTTCACATGTTGAGGGACTATTTTCTTATATATCACTCCGCCACTGCCATGCTTTCTGTCAGGAAGTACAACTCGCTGCTGCTGCTCAGACATAAATCTTTCAAATGCAAGGTTGGTTTTACATCTAACATTCTCATCGACAGTCTGGCGTTATAATAGTTTTGCTTCGAGTGTTTTTAGTGGCAGGCTAACTATGGCCATTGACATGCACTAGCCTAGCACCAGCGACATCTGCAAATACAAGTACTGGATGGAATACTTAAAAAAGTGACTACACACATCTCCAACACTCTGGCTAACTTGGAGGTCCTATGTCCAAAATTCCGAACTGTCCCTTTAATTCTTTTGACAGTTTTGTGTTTTTGTTATGGTTGTTTATATGTGTGGATCACTTTAGCTGCTCTGCGTAACATTTCTAGTGGAAGGTCCGCCACCTGCTTGTCTCTATGGAAATGTTATTGCTTTATTTAGAATGTTCGACAGCATAGATTAAACCTATCTATGACAAGGGAGACAAGCAGGTTACAGCACTACGCTACATTACAGTTCAGATCTGAGGAGAGTCACTTCTATTCACAAAAGAAATTATTGTATTTTTGAGCAACAGAAACACCTGTAATGAAAAATATGCTAGATGGATATGTTTAATGTCATACCATGGAACATTCCAGGCAAAGCAATAACATCTCCGTAGAGACAAGCAGGTAGGGGACCCTCCACCAGAAAAGTTGTCAACATAATCTTGAACTAACTAAACTATATATTTATTGCATATAATTCTGTGTATACTAATCGTCCAAGCGTTCCCAAATTACTGTAACTGGATCCTATAGCAATAGACTTTATTGATCCACAAGGGAAATTACTTGGACATTGAAGCTTATTACACACAATATAATTTGCCTGGGATCCATAATATACACCTAATACTTTCCAAAGGTATGAGTCGAGTCACTGTTGAATCTCCCACACACGTCTATATCAAAACAAGTAATGGCTTCTGACAAGGAAAAAATAAAGAAAAAAAACATTGCAGGAGATTGAAAAACAAGCAAATTTTTGATGCGCGAAGCACTAAACCATGGTTATCTGAGGTGAGATAAACTTTCAATTTTATTTGTAAATTATAGGTGACCAATGAGCTCTGTCTTTCCACATGCGTCACGGAAATAAACAAACCAAAATAAACCATGTTTGGTTCTGGCTTGAGACGCAACAGAGGGAGAAAGCTATCAATATAATAAATAAAGCAAACAGGAAATGGTAGATACTTACATACTTAAGAAGTTGCCGCTACGATACATACCTCGATGCATAGACCGCTTTTCAATACAGTGAGCTTTCGATTCGATACGATATATTTCACATCAATTCAACATGGTTCAGGTTCACTGAAAAACAAAAGCTAACTCCTGGCTCTGATACTAAAAGTCCACTAAGTTTGTGCAGAGTTAATATGAAAAACACCCATTTTACTCCAAACAGTGAAAATGTCAACATAACTGCAGCTCTTACACAAATTTATTTATTAAAGTATACCTAAAATGTCTCTTGACGATATATCGATACAGCAGCCCGTAATATTGATACTGTAGCAGCACATTAAATGAAATGGTACATCGATATTTTGATATTTCTGCACACACTTACTCACAGTTGTGTTTTGTTTCATTCACCCATGTTGGTGTTATCCTTTATTATTAGTCTGTCTACATCTCTAAAGATCAAAATTTTCTGTTCTCCAGGGCTTCACTAGAATCCAAATTATTCTAGTGAAGATGTATGAAGTTTAAAAACACAGTGGAGCACTTCCTGTATTATCGCATGACATCACATAGTCGAACAGAGTGTTTACTGTTTGAGAGAAGAACTCCACTCTAAAATATGGACTTGTGTGTTAAATATGTGTGAATGAAACAAAACACAACTCCAGGTATGTTTTTGATGAGGAAACAGTAGTACATCTCCCCACTTTTTTCAGAATTACTGATTTGAAGACTGTATTTGTGATTGGTAATCTAAAATAATTGCCTTTACATATCTGCTGATTATTGTTGGAACATAATGTCATTTATCATCTATTAAATATCTAAATATAGTAGTACCGGTAATTCCTCACCTAAACACCTGATAGTGTCAACAGGTCACAGCAGCTTCTGAAAAGGCAGTAATTTAGATCCTTCACATATTTTCCACGTTGTACCCGCTGCAGAGGAGGCTTCATGCATTTGTTTGGACTCAAATAAGGAGAGAGAGAGATCCAGGTTTTGTGGGTCACGTCTGTCAGGTAGATACAGCGTCTGCTCCCTGCCATCTGCCCACAGTCTCAACCAAGTCACAATATGTTTAGTAATGCACTCCAGTCTGGGCTTTCCAACGTGCTCATTTATCATAGGAGACAAACAGCTGTACTGCTTCAATTACAATGACACCTAAATGTGGTCTATAAACTTCGTAATGAGAAAAGGCCGGTAAATAATGATGCCGTGTTGAAGGTGAGAGCAATTTGACACATCAGAGCTAATTATTCCCCCAGCCTGATAAATCACATACGTTGTTTTTGTAGAA